AATTTCAGTAAGGAAAAGATTATTGCAAACTTTAAGGAACGCGATTTTAATGGTGTAATGGGGATATAAATGGGATGAAAGCATTTAGGAGGAGTAGTGGGAGCTATGGATGCACTGAGTAGAAGCTGTGAACGCCTGTAGACAATGTTATGAAGGAATACTCATCTCTGTGTTGTAATAATTGTAACCTTTCTAAATCAAAAGCAATTTGCAGCGACCAGTGAAGAAGGGGTGTTATTAGCAGTCATATTGCTGTGATGACGTTGTTTCAGCAATGATTTAAAAAGGGGGCGGGGGAATCTGTGGAGACTTAACAGAAATTCTTGACATGCGAGGAGAGCCCAAAATTGTCTGTGAACTAGAAACAATCCACATCTCTCTTGGCACTACCCATCTCCACCGAAGGCTGTTGAACCAGACAATCCAGTAAGCTTTGTCCTAGTAAAAAGAATGATTCTGAACTTATCCATATCTGAGTCAAAACAAAAATAAAAGCAAAGTTCATGGTAAGGGCTTTAATTGGTAATATAATGCAATGTAAGGTACAAGAAAAGTAGAATACATCAATTACTACCAAATGCTTTATATCCAGCCTTAGGATGGTTGGAGATTTAGAAGACTGAAGTTGAGTATCTGGCAAATTGTCTCTTAGTAAGCCTGAGCATCTAGCTCTTTCTAACACACGGTAAGCTCATTTATTACGCCATAGTGAAAATGTACATGTACATTCGGATGCATCAATAAACTAAATGTCATGACCTCATTGAGTCAACCTCTGTGATATCTAATAATTTAAATCAAAATAGTCTCTTCGAATTGCAAAAGAATCTTTTTGTCACTGTGCCTCTTTTAACACATAAAGCAAATTAAGCTATTCAACAGTATTGCAATATAAACATTAGTTAAAGTTGGTTGGACAGAAAAGTTCAAAGCACCGATATAATTAGAGTAAAAAGGAAGGGCCAGCAATTTAGCTCAGTGGTGCCACCGCCTGCCTCACAAGCACAAGGTCCTGAGTTCGATCCCTGGTACTAAAAAGAAAAAAGAAAACTCTGGCCAAGCTCAATAAAGTCAATGAAACTACATAGAACATAGAAAGATTACTATTGCATTAGCAAGGACATTTGTGGGAGTCCCCCCCCACTTTGGTACTGGGGATCGAATTTGGGACCTTGCACATGTAAGGCAGGTGGGGGCACCACTGAGCTAAATCCTGTGGAAGCTTCTTGTGAGGCCTGTGAAACCCAGTTATTATAATATCTCAGTTGAAAAAAAAAGCCATTATTTTGACTTTTTTGTTCTTCTTTTAATTAAAACTGGTTTAAGTAAAGATATCTTCTTTGCTAGTATATATCTTTTTATGGGCATTAGGAAGAAAATATACAAGATACACACAGGCACATGATGCTGAAACTAAGTGAACAGAGAATGAAATTGCAATCCTTGGGTGAATAGACATCCTCTCATCATCAAAGTATTTAGGAAGGAACATCAGATCTACAAACACAACTATGTAGTCATGTTCACAAAGTAAGCTGTCTCCATTTATATTATGGAAAAATACCATCAATTGATTATTTACCGCATAGCATTTGGGAGGTACTAATAGATGCCTGAAATTCCTGTACAGCATCTAGGTCAATCAGACAAAATGCTACAAATTTAGTCCTTAAAATAATTTTCCCCTATAGTTTTCCCTGAGAAATTTGCTTTCAGAATTCAAACAACTTTAGCTGCTTAAAATCCTGAAATACCTGTGTGCTTTTCGGAAAGTCACATTTCAAAAGTGGCCTTTATTTTAAAAAGTTTACTGAGTAAAAATTTTAAGTGATAAAAGCTGTCAAAACTCTTGAATATCAGAGTTAAAGCTGATAACCCTTCATGATTTATTCTGCTTTGAAAAAGGAAGAGAAGGAAAATGCAAATGACCAAGTAAAGGCAAACTCACTCACATTTCACCTTGCCTATTTGTTATAAATAACAACTTAAGTATCCTCTGAGGTTAGTATTTTCTGATTTGATGTGACAGTATAGAAAAAATGAATATACTTCTGCATAATATGAGGCAAGAAAGACTGGAACATCTTATTTGTAGCAAATTTTATTTTCAAATAACCATAAAAGGTATCCAGTTACTCCTCAGATCAATTTATAAGATCATGCAAGATGTAAACAGAAAGTTCCAAAGGAAAGAAACATTCCCAACAATTCTAATATGGAAGGGAAAAGTACACAGAAATGCACACCAGAAACTTTCTTAATATGGCTAATACCTGGATCTTTATTCTTACCTGTTTTTGTCATTTCAGCATAAGATAAAATGTATTGCAAAGAAGCAAAAATTAATAATCCAAGGGAAGAGAAACTTGCTGATGTGTGATATATGGTGAGGGAGGGTTAACTATGTTAATATCCACAGAGAAATGTTGCAAAGGGAGTATATTCGATTTTAAAAATTCTATGCTTCAACACAGTTAAAGAGAAAATGAGTTGAAGCGATAATATTGCTACTCACATCATATTTAGAGACATTACCTTGAGTATCATGCACAGTTCTGAACTTTTTTATTTGTTGTTTGTTTGTTGGCTATGGAACTGGATAAAATGAAATGGAAATCTCCCAAGAGAATATTCAAAATAATGCATTAACTTTGACTTTGAACTTATTTTGAAAATATGGAAAATCTTAATATCCAGCAAAGGATGAATTTTAAAATGCTTAAAGTCCATGACAAATCATAAAGAAAATAATTTCTTGCTTTGGCACTGTAAAGTAACGATCTTGTATCAGGGTTTTGTTTGATTTCAATATTCAAAATTTATTCTCTATCACTAAAAGTAGAAAAGAGATCCACAAGGCCAATATAGAATTAGTCTGTGTTCAGTTTCAAAGAAACTACAATGGCATTTTTTAAAATTTAAACTAAACCCTAGCACTGTAATTTCTCCTGATGTCTAATGACCACAAAATGCAAAATGCACTGAATTACCCTGAGAGTACACACTCCACAAGTTAAGCTTTGTTTTTAATATAGTTAAAAATTAAACAGCAAAGCTCCATACAAAATTGGGTGTTTTATATTTATTTTTTACAACTGCATTATCCCTAATATTCTCTTTAGAAGCCTAGAATGACATGAGTATAAATTTCCATTTCAGGACTTCCCATTTCTAATGCTTTCCGCCACAACACCCTTGGCAGGCACACTACCATGTGTGGTTAATAAAAAAATGTTTTGACCCCCCAAAAAATGTACAGTGGATTCCACTGCGATTTTGTTAAATAGAGCTATCTATTTTTTAGGTAATGAAAAAAATCACTGAGATTTTAAGAGGGTTTGCTTTGGTTCCTTTATTATGAAGTTTTATTCTTATTTGAGGTATCAAAAACCTATCCTATCCCCTATGTAAATCAACCTTTAAGTGGCTGCTCAACCAAAGCTCCCAGACAGTAACTCTCAGGAAAGCTTTTTGTGCCCAAATTCTGCCAGAAGTTAGACCGACACAGGCATTTGGGAGGTAGAAGCTGTAAAGACTTGATGCCTTGTGTCTGTCTAAGAAGTCCACATTTTCCATTGTACATCAGACAATAAGTTCACAGTTGCCCCATCTGAAGGACGGCTGTACGTACGTCACGGGAAAGCACGACGGTCATCCAGCTCTGCATTACAAGATTTTCCCTCTTCCCATCTACACAATCCGTGCTCCTTTCCTTTCCTTTTTGAAATGTATCTATTTCAAATTTGTATTTAAAAATATATATATATCTCATTTCAGCTGTGTTCTTTCCCTCTTTGGTCTCTTCCCACATTTCACAGACCAGACAAATATTTAGAGGTCTGTAATGCCAGGCAAAGTTCCAAAAATATTTCTAAACAAAGCTGCCATAGGTGACAGAACACGGAAAGAAGGCAAAGCTTGTAGGACGAAGATGTGAATAAACTGGCTGAAAATGCACTGGAAAATCTATTGAGGTCCCTGTAGCCACAGATGAGGTTTCAATGAGGCATAAACATTCAAGTTACTGACAAAATCAACATGTCCCGTGATCACTCAAGACTGCCCACTTGTCATGGTGCATTGCTCGTTACTGGTTGTAGAAGTAGTAGTAAGTTGCCTCTCTCCCTTTCTCTTCTGCATTGGTTTTTCTTTTTTTAGTACTCAGGAAGAGAAAGCATTTAAGAAAACATTCAAAGTTCTGAGAATATATGTAAGTGAAATATTTAATGTCTGTTATTCATAAAAGTTACATCATTTACATAGGGTTCATTTGTATATAATAAAAGTCTTATCATAATGAAAATTTTCTGGAAAGTATTTTTATGTTAATTTGTTTAACATACACTTTGGACATACAGCTGAACAGGAACAGTTAAAAACTTCTTTCTTCAAATAGTTCCTTTAACAATGAAAAAAAAAAAACCTCATTCCCAAATGTTTTTTCTTTCCACCTGCTCCTTTGTGATATCAATGTAATGCGAACTATACAAAGATTGGATCTCCTCATGGTTCGGAATATATTTGTATACTTCAGTAAAATTGCTCATTGCATAGTGAACATGTAAACTCATACAGTATCTATATATTTTACCCTAATCTAAAAAAGTTGCTGAAATTTTGCACAATAATTTATTCTGAGGTTTATTTTTGTTGTAATTTGGGTTTACATTTTTATTTCTCGTGTATGCATCAATTAAATATAAAAATAAAATAAATCATAAAAATTAAAAACGAAATAATTTCATCCTGGACCAACACAATTTCATCTCGTTGTATTGTTTGAATTTTTCCTACGTATAACAAATTGCAAATGTACTGTGCTGCCTCTTTGAGACAGGGTTCAAAATCAATTCCAACAGTGTGTGTTTAACATAAAGTTAACTATGTTTGCATCAAATAAAATGTTTATTAATGAAAGCTATTTATCATACAAGAAACAGCAAAGATAAGTCATCGTTACAGAGATGTACACTAGAAGTGACAGATGTAAAAGTGCATGCAGAGATTTCTGTTTAAAAAGGAAGTAATAAACAATAATACTAAAATGACTGCGTTTTGATCCCTATACTCTTAAATGAGTGATAGCTTTTCTTTGAATTTACAGTTGGAAAATGCCATTAACAGATAGGACTAATACACATTAGCAAGCAGGTGAAATGAATGTTTCTGGACTTTATTTTACAACTATTGTGCTTGACAAATGTGTGGTTTTTTTTTTTCGGTAATAGTTTTCTCCAAATATGGCATGGGCATATTACTGCCAGGTTGCTCTGGTTTATACATAGTTATCTAATTTTTTAAAAATCACATAATTTTAAGCCTTCATTTGTGTTAGACATCATAAAGAACAGAAGTTTTGTTAACATTCAATAAATGACATTTAAGTCTCACTCTCTCTCTCTCTATTGGTTTTTTTTTTGGCTCAATAAATTTTTAAATGTATGATTATCATAACCTAATAGTGTCTTTGTCTTCACTGCAGTGGATTTCCGATCAAACTTTTCCCCTTCCTTTAATACTTTAGGGAATTTTCAAACGTCGGGATGTTTGGCTGTAATGCCCCAAGATTGGTTCTCCCTGAAAAAAATCATAGCGACAATTTATTAACTACAGAGCAACTTGGCTTTTAGGGGTCTGCAATTTCTACTTAGACTTACAAATATTCATTTTTGCTCAATAGACCTAGCATTGACTCTTACTCGTCTTTAAGGCTTCTTTTCATGCAATTACTTTATCTGCTGAATTGATTTTTTTTATTCTGAAAATTGGAGTGAGTCAAGTTGGTGGGGCATTACTTTTATTAAAAGCAAATATATTTAAAGGTAATTCACGGTGGGGTGACATTGCATATGCAATGGTGTGTGCAATTTATATGATTCAAAGTCAGGAAATCTAAAATTATTGTATGTTTGAACGTTAAAAATATATATACACTATCATTTTAATAGCTTTTGCATATAGTGAAAAGACACTAAAACCAGTAAAATTTAAATAAAACTCCTTAGATTCAAAATGGTTTATTCACACAAATTTAATAGGATATATCACAATTGTTTGGTCCATAAATATTTAGGGGAAATAGTTTCTATACAATGCATTTATCAATAAACAAAGAAACATGGACAATTTTGCTAGACCACTTACTGTACTATAAACACGAAGCTCAATATATAAGATTATTGAATTGATCAACTATATTTGAAAGAGTGCACAACTGCTTTCTATGACATGTTTGTCCCCTCTAACAGGATACACCATAAAAAGAGTTTCAGAAATAAGAGGTAAAACAGTACAAAACTAGTGAGGTGTCAAAAGGGCTTAAAACAGTTAATTTAACAAACAACACATATAATCCTGATTTTCACAAACTTACTTCCAAGTTATATCATAAGGCACATAGGAGAACTGAGTTATAATTAGTCTACTTAATAAAGTAGATCTATAGTACCATATATTGTTCTGTCAAAGAACAAAATTTATAAGTATCAATATTTTACCTGTAAAAGTGTATTAATAAGATCTCAGCCTTACCAAGGTTGTTTGGTCTGGTTAGTGGTAAATGCCCAAAATGTAATAGAAATATGAAAAGTCAAGATTTAAGCTCCATATAAGATGATAACCACACTTGCTAAATATATAATGGCAATCACACCTTTCTTCTGTTACAGTGTTAACTTATCTCCCATCATCTTTTTTTAAAAATAAGCTACTTTCTGTGCTAATTTTCTAAAGACCCTGAGCAAAAGTTACAATAATGCACTTTAACGTGGGCAGTGAACTGTCAATATGTAAGCACACATTTATACAGCCAGAGGACCCCTTGTAAATCTATTAGTCACCTAGACGATCAGAGATTTAAGGGGTCCAAAAAAGTGGAGAATATGTGCAAAGTTATTCTTAACAATCCACTAAAGCAAGACATATATCTTGACTTCTTTTTATTTTTATTTTTATTTTTAGGAAATCCACAATCTAATTGGTATTTAACTACAACAGAAGCATATAGATGAACATTCACCACTGCCCAGACCATTAAGATTTTACCTTAAATTAAAGGAAAAAAATGCTACTGTAAACTAGGAAATATGTTCAGATCAGCATCCACAAGGCTTCTGAGTTTATCTACTTTAAGACTAATTTCAAATCTCAAAGGTCAGAAAAGTATTTTTATGTATAAATCAACAAATGCCAAAAATAAACCAAAGCAAAACAAAGCCAAAGAAATACCATTGTTGGTGTCAATTTACTAAGTTGTTTTTTTTTAATTATTCATATAGAATGTCAGATACAATATCATGGTACAGGTGAAGCCAATTAATAATAGACTTATTAAAGTATACCAATTTTCTTTGATTTCTTAAAAATTATATTTTGCTTATTTCCATCTTCCCTAGGAAAAAAAGTAAAGTGGAAAGAATAATTTCAGAGCTTTTTAGGTTTTGTTGTTGTTAGGTGGTTTTTTGTTTTCTTTTTTAGCTTTAAGAGGTCAAAGTATAGAACGGAGTTTAATCTTTTTAAATGTTGAGAGGGAGATAACTAAGTTAAAAAACAAAAATGAGGCCTTTAATCCCTAAGAAAAGGAAAAGTCACATTCTGGAATAAATTTCCCACCTATTTTATCGTGACTATTTAAACTTATTATCATTAATTTCTTCATTAAATCACATTTCTCATTTGAATTAACAGTTCAGGTAAGAAATGGGAATACTCGGTACATTTTTTTTTCAGTTTTAAAATTTGAAGAATGTGAAGATTTCAAAGTTCCATAATCACACAGTCAAGGGGTTTTAGAAATAACTGCCTGGTTCATTGTTCTAATCACTTAAACAGTAATATGCTTCCTTGCTCACCATAACACCACTTTTTTTTTTTTTCTTCGAGATTCTGGAAATAAGTAACATACAATTTTAAGAGGCACTTATTAGAATGATTTGAAAACTCCGGTCACCGACTAAGAGACCTAATTAAAGAAAAAAAAAATCCAAATACACTTTGTAGACAAACTATGTTTACTTAAAGGACACAATATTGTGAACTCATTTGCCAAGTGGCTGCAGATGCTACACATCAAGCTGTTATTTTCATTCCCCAAATATTTTATGGGTTAGAAGGAAAAAAAAAGAAGTCTTGTAAATAATAAAAAATAATAATTAGAATAATAATGAAGAGGAAGCATTAAAAAAAATAAAATAAACCGATGTTAGAAAAGGTTCGTTAAGGTAGTGTGTGAGGGGCTTCCGGACTCGTGGCTGTCCATGTTTGAGGTCACGGACGTCACTACAGTGACAGTGGGATTGGTCAGGTCTGTTAAAGTGGTCGCAGTGCCGGGTGGAGTGAGAGCTCCGCTGTCTGCTGAGGGCGGGGCCGGAAGCGACGCGCCATCGGCTTTATCAACACCCCCATTCTCCTGCCGCAAAAGGTTCCTTCTGAATTTGGCTCGTGCGTTTTGGAACCAAACCTGCAAACCAATCCCAATTGATTTCTTTACGATGTTAATTTTTATATTCTTTCTCTCTCTCTTTCTGCCTTTGTTTCTTTCTCTCCTTTTTTTTTTTTTCCTATTTCCTCTTTTTAAAAATATTTCTTCTTTTAAATATAATTGCCTATTGTCCTTGGGAAGGAAAGGGCTTTTTTTTTCCTCCTCTCTCTCTTTTAAAACAGGGTAGTGAGTGACATTACAGATGTGCTCTCTCTCAGCTGCACATTCTCTCCCCAGCCAGTTTGGACACTCATCACATCAGCATGAACCAGTGCACTTGGGGCAACTGGCGCTTCGGTGGAGAAACCAAGGAGATGAAGGAGGAGAAATACATCCCAATTCCTCCACAGCTGTCTTTTGAGAATGAGAAGCAGGGGCACCTGCTGCCACAAGGTAGAAACCACTTCTAGGAAGAAAACGTGACTGAGACAATTTCCACTACTCTTGAGTCTGACACCCCGGCCACAGGCTCAAATCAGCGAGAGACAACTTCTCAAAATCTAAAGTATCTGTAGTTTGTCCCCTCGAAGTAGAGCTCACCGGTGACTCACAGTAAGCCGTTATAACTTCATAGTTATATAGTCTGACCCTGATGAATCTGAGGAAGTATTTGAACCACTGTACTAACTCCCAGCTTTTAATTATGATTTGTTAACACAGAAAGACACTTGTTCCAACTGGTTGCCGAGGTGCTAACTGTACTTTTGGCTTTTGGGGGAGTTGGGGAGGAGAAAGTCCACTTGAACTGGGAAGGTCGTCATGTCTGCGTGAGGCTGATGTAGGACAGTGCTAGCAGATACCTCACAAGTCAGTGCCCTGAGCCTAACACTCCTGGGCATCTTACAACTAGGACTTGTGCAGATAACGTCACTTGTATTTGCATGGCAGCAAGGCAAGCTGTGCTGGCTTTGGAGACCCTCTCCCATCTGTAGGGAGAATGTGTCGGCATCTTAAAAGACCTCGGGTCTCTGTCTGAGTACCCTTCAGGAAGCCCCCGCAAAACCTCAGCATACCCTCTAAGGTGATGACTAAGATAAACTACTAAGAAGCAAAACAGGAAGCAGTCACATCAGGTTGATGGGGAAGAGAGCTATTTACTGGCGAGGGGAAGGGAGATGTAGGTACAGCCAGTGAAGAGGAGTCTTACCTGCAAAACTCTTTTGGTTAGGCCTGTTTTCTGAGCAAGCTGCTTGAGGTCCTTGGCATCCGGGTTGTGGTTGATGGCAAAGTAGGATTTCATGGTCCGGAGCTGATGGTGCTTGAAGGAGGTTCGCATACGCTTGGTCTTCTGTGAGGGTGGATAAGGCTGTTGGTCCCGGTCCAAGTGGTCCGCTTCATTCTCGTTACAACCTGTTGCAGTCACAGGGAACAGACAACTGCTCAGTAGAGATTCCTGCATTGACTGAAAAGATGTCAGGCTACATGGTTCTGCTACCATGTGAAAGCAAGAGGAAGAGGTTGACAGTTCTGTATGAATAGTGTCTGGACAAAGAGGAGGCCATGGCCAGTGTCAAGCAAACTTGTCAGTTAGTGTAGACACAACCGGAGTTTGCGCAATAGAAAAATATTGGTTAAATATTTTCTTTTGCTTTAAAGTTGATGGAAAATGTTGCAAAAGTGAATGAACCCTAAGCAGAAAGTGGGAATGAGAGAAACCTCCAAGAGCAGAAGAAGAAAGAAATCCTTTTCTAGGACACTTATGCATATCAGCACCACATGACCACCCACGTTCACACAGTATTTTAAGACTTCACATTTTGTGTTTCTGGAAGAGGGCTGTGTATCTGAAGGCACTGCTGTTTAGCACATAGGATGTGTCAAACAAGTACTTTGGCTCCCAACTCTCAAGTTTGTGAAAGCCCACCAACTGCCGGAGAATGTACATCATTTCCAATTTTTAGCATTTTCTCATATTCTTAGAGCTTTCATTATCAGGAGGAAGTTAGAATAGTGCTGGAAAAGATGGAGATTTTAGAAAGATTTTAAGATTTCTTATGAAAGCATAAAAAATGTATTTCAGGGCTTTGAGGTATAACAGGTTAGCACAGGGCTATATAGGAAGAAAATATTTTCCCCCTTGGGGTTATTCTAATAAATATTTCTGAAAGAGAATGAGCCCAGCCTTACTCTCTCTTGGTTCATGCCTGGAGCGCTCTCACAGCTCACAGCTGAGAGACACTGCTGGTGCTGATTTCTCTGCTCAGATCCGTCCCCTTTTTTCTCTGAACCCACGTGAGTGGGAAGCGAGCTGTGCCACTGGCTGGTCTGGCAGAGGGGACCACGTCTCTCCTCTGCCAAAGTCCTCCTTGGCAACAAGAGCAAAACAAATCAGCCTTTGAAACCAGCTAACAAGTCATTCTCCTCTGTATATTTAAATCATTTCCCCAAACCCTGGCTCTGCATAGGAAATATGACTACAAAACGGAAACATTTCGCTACTTACTGATTCAACCAACTTTGCAAATTCAAGGGCATGACAATTTTTTTTAAACCTGTTTTTTATATTACCTGATGGATATTTGTAACTGATCACCCTACCTTTTAGTGCATTATTTAAAATCAACCTTATGTCATGCAGCAGGGGAAGAAACTTGAATGCTGAAAAATAAAGTGAGAAATCTCAAGAGTAGCGCCCCCATTTTACTTAATAAAATGCTATCTTCCTGCTATGTTGATTAGAATTACCTTTTAAAAGTATCCAGCAAATCAGTACATATAATGTACTGATTTTTCCCGCAAATCAGCATATTTACAGAAATGCAGAAATCTTATAGTCATCAACTAAGAGATCAGCTGCATAGAAAACTTATTCAAGAAAAAATTCTCCTTAGTGTAACAAAACTAAGCATGAACTAATGTTTCCTTGGTTTGTATCGCCGTAAGACATGTAAGCAGGAAGACACACACTTGGCAAAGAGCAGGTGAGTTTTTTGAGAGAACAGACTGTCTCATATTACATTGGGATCCTCTAAGTCAAGCACAGAGCCAGGAATGCAACAAGCATTCAATCAAGGTTTTGAACCCTTTGTTCATCAACAAAATCACAAGTGAATATGAATGTAAAATAAAAAAACTTGAAATAGAAACCGAGTGCAATGTGTTCACTCAAATATTGAACAAAGGCTTTTTTTTCACCCACCAGAAATAGTACCGTATATCCAGAGATAACAGAGAGAATATAGTTTGCATTTTCTCCTATTTCAGCCCAATAGGGCTATGTCAAGTTCAAATAGTCCACAGAATTGCACTTTCCTGTCCTCTAATGGATGAAACAACATCTCGTGGCCTCCTATGAAACTATACTTATCTCTGCTAAACTGAGCCATATTTCACAGCCAGATTACAAATGCACCCACAACAAAATGGCCAAAGAGGCACATGTCAGTCATCAAGACTTCTTCGAAAGTGATTTCATTCCTGTCATGTGTGTGTAAGTCTTCCTAAACAACACATCCACTTGAGTGTATTACACTCAGGTGGAAGCCTTGACGCACTGCTTAAATAATGCCCTTAGCCATCCCCTCTTCCCCATGGTAATATTTCTTAGAAATTCATGATTCCCAACCTACCTATGTCATCACTGGGCTTTCAAAAGCATTTTATGAACAGTAATTGCAGGAAGATTTGAAGGCGTTGCTTTCCTATGTACTCTATCCATTGATGGTGATTTGAAACTTAGTGGAGCACTTAGTGGCTTAAGTAGAATTAGAGGGCCCATTTCCACAAGAAATATACAATTCAGTGTATATGAAGATAGGTCATCAGATCTTTACTCAACAGATATTACTATATATAATATTCATGTGACTATGATATCACTTATACAACTACATAGGAAAATATATTTCTTTCACCAAGTAACTCAGTTCACCACTCTAAATTATTTGGGTTTAACTATAAATGCATTAAGTGAACTTGGAAATGATTGTGTTTCCCCTAGTCCAGAATTTCTAAAGCCTTAGAGGTATTTTTCTCCTGAATTAAGAGATCGACTAAATTTTTAAATTATCTAAGTACCACCGGTAAGTACACATCTGACATTATTAAAATTAATGAGATGATCTAAAAAGTTTATTTTCTATCACTTATGGTCACCTACCTAAAAGTTTGTTTCTGAAGGTTTTAACCTTCTGAGAATTAAATGATTCCTGGGAGACCACTAGGGGTCAGTACCAGGCTAATTCAAAAACAACCAGGCACAACTTGGGGTAGAATGAATCTAAAGAAAGGAGATTTTGAGAAGTAGCAAAAAAGTGAATCTCTTAATTAATGCTAAATTATCCAATATGATCTGTTTCTTTTAGATTAAATCTTCCCACCCTGAACAGCTTTATTTCAATCCGGTATTCCAGATAAACATTCCATGTCTTTTTCTAAAATACATGGCTGATATATTCACAGAGGGGTAATTAGGGACATTCTCATTAAGGGCTTTTGCCTCATTTTAAGAACTCTGTCAATTTTCACATCTCTGAGACTCTTTAAATTACAAACCTGCTTTGTGTAGATGGTTTTGAGAACATGTCACTACGTAATGTATATTTTGTTTCATACCAGTGGTACCCTTTATAAGACTAGTTTACATTTAAATAGAAATAGTAGTATAAAATCCAACGAAGCCTAAAATAATTAAAACAATGAAAATGGGCTCATTTTTGTTTTCTCTGTTTTAATGTTTTTAATTTGTTGAAGGGTTACTTTCCCTAGTTTTATACAGACATCGGATTTGTAACACTCTGGAAATGGGCTTGGTATGTGGTCAAGCAATTGTGCTGGATTATTTTTGCCTAACCTAAAGAACGATGTACTACTTACTTTTATCTCAGGGGAAAATCCAAAAAGGATGGAGTGAACATTATTAAGAGGCTGTACGGGATGAGGGGTGTACAAATTCTTCAGGTTAGGCAGCCCTAGGCAACTTTCCCCTCCATCTCCAGCAAAACATCAACTCGCTCAACAACTTGGACAACATTAATTTGCACAATAAAGGTTTAAGTGCCTCAGGAGGAGATTTTCATTCTTTTTGAGAAATAAATTCATACTTAGTTCTCTTCACAGAAGTAAAAGAAGCTGAATTCTATTGTTCCTAATGCCCCTTGGATCTTTCTAATATAAAATAAGATCCAAGGCAAAAATGAAATTTAGCTAATTAGATTGAATAAACAGGCCAAAAGTGGGGCTTGCCTGCAGTTCGGCTACAAACCTCCACCCTACTGGACTTTTATGGGACCGAAAGAACCCCTCTCTGCAAAGGACTCTGGGTACAGTCTCAGTATCTCAGTGCCCTCCCCACATGAAGGCCTTGGTGAGTGGCTTGACATTCCAGTGCCATCTTATATTAATAAAGAACAATGGGTGCCCTGCCTGTCCGGCCCTGGGGACTGCGCATCAAAGGAGATGAAGTAAGAGTGCTGAGCAAAGTGGCCCCTAACCAAGCCACTGCCGCAGCACAGCAGGAGCCAGGGAGAAGGCGCTGCCCAGCTGCCTGCTGTGGCTGCCTCTGCACAGGGCTGGAAAAACCCAAGGCTGTGCTTCCTGCCCTCACACAAACCAACTCTGGGAGAGGCTGTGTGGAGCCTGCCCGCCCTTTTCTCTTTTCCAGGCCACTCTAGCATGTCCTTAACCTGCTGAGGACAAACACAGCTTTGCTGGGCTACTTGCTTGACTATCCAGAATTAAGTCATCTGATTCAGAAGGGAGAGAACCTAGGCAGGGGGCTGGGGAGTGCTTGCTCATCCTACACGCTTGCTCTCTGAAAACTCTCCATTTAGAGAAGAGCTCTTAGTTTCTCCCTTCACATTGGCTGTGTGACCTTAGGTGGATCATGTTATTGACTAGACACTGTTCCTTTATCACTCAGCAACAGTGTCATACACTATGCGAGGCACTGGGAACTTAGTATTTTTTATTTTTTGATACCAGGGATTGAACTTGGGACCTTGCGCTTGTGAGACCAGTGGTAGAACCACTGATCTAAATCCCGGCCGCAGGCACTGGGAATTGAAAGAGAAAAATAGGTACAATATGGGCACCCAAGCCCTGCCAGGGTATCTGGGGAGCTCAGGGCGATGACAGAGTTGAGACAGTAAAGTGGTCCCCAAGGTCCTTTCCCACTGAATGGTCTCCGCTGGCCTGAGTCTCCTGCTGGTTGAGCTTCTCAGACAGGTCTGGGCCAGTGCATGGAAGTCACAACAGTGGAGGTCCCTAAGCTCCCCAAAGTGAGCCAGGGCTTTTTACCCTTTTCCCAGGGACTGGGATTCACTAGAAGGGCTTCTATCCTAGAGTGAGATTATGGTCCCTAAGGCCTGTCAACATCCTTACCTAGAAGATGGGAAGCAGGGACTGGGTACCAAACAATGGGAAATAGATGCATGAGTGTGAAACAGATTGGTAAATGATAGGTGTGTCCTACTGTGAGGGAGGATGTGTACTCTCAGGCCATCGCCTGCACTTTGTTTTTAGTTAAGAGAAGGCTGCTGGAGGACAAAAGAGCAGCGTGAGACCTCACTAAGCTCCCTCAGTGGGCCTTGCTTGGAGCCTCCGTCAATTGGCCTGGGTCTCTGACACCTGGGGAATGAGGGGGCTGGATGGACACCCTGACCTACCAGACGCACAGGCCAGCTCAGCAGTGGAGAGATTCCTGCCCCTACCACCGCTTTTTGCCAAGAGCAGGGATTCAGTTTCTCAACACTCTTGCCAACTGTGTTGCTGATTAACTTTGGGTTGGTTGGTGAGGTCTCTGCCCCCTCTAGGCAGACCGGGGTTAGGCTCTGAAGTTCCCCACCCCTTCAGTATTTAGCAAAGCCTGCTTCTGGATCTATAATTTGGCTTCCACAAAGAAATTGCCCTGGGGCTGTTTTGCTCCAACTGGGAGCCAGAAACTAATGGCCTCATTAACTAATGGGCAACCAGGGTTTGGCTCTGCCTGTTTGGGGGAAGTCACTAGAGCTCACTGGTTTTGAATGTGTTTTTTGCCACAACCTCAGTAAAGTGCGGTCTTTCCCCCTCTTGCTCTCTCTGTCCCTTCCTTCCTTCTTTCTTCAAATTGAGCAGGAGTTAGAGTGAGCACAGGGCCATGTTGGGCATAGCACGCTCTTGCAGCCGGATCTTGGACAGACAAGGGGTTCAGTCCTCCTCAGGCAGCCAGACCCCCACCCCACCCGCTGCGTGGGTGGGTAGGGGCAGGGACCCACCTGAGTTGTAATTGACTATGTCCACTCCCAGCGCAGGGCTCTTCCGCTTCCGGGGCCGCCCTTTCTGCACCGTGCCGGTGCCATTGAAGTAAGGAAGGGCCAAGCCGCCGCTCTTGGCTGCCAGCTCCGTGTAGCTCAGCTGCGGTGGATACTCTCCTTGCAAGAGGGTCTCGAAGTGGGCGCGGCAGTACACCAGGCTGTCCTTCATGCCGAAATGGTCGCCCGTGGTCAGAGTCTTGTTGCAGGTGGAGCAGGTGAAGCAGCTCAGGTGGTAGACAGAGTCTCGGGCGCGCATGACCATCTCGGAGGCAGAAATGCCAAGGTGGCAGCGGGCACATCTCTGCACAGAGAACCTTCTGGAAGGAAACCGCAAGGTCAGGACTCTGCAAGGAGGGTCAGGGCAAGGAAGAGCCATCTCCCACCGTGCAGTACCTGGGCTTGGTCTGCCACGGCCAAAGACTGAGACAGTAGGGCTCCAGAAGCTCATGATGCTTGGACATACTTTGGACAGGACATTAGTTTTATTTGCTCATTTGACCTCTTCTGGCTCTAGGAGACCAGGGCAAATATCCTTACAGTAAAGGAAGAACTGGGAGCTGAGCTACAGTTTCTTTCTCTACATGAATTAAAAAAAAATCTGCAGTATCTAATTCACGGGCTATTGAAAACATTAAATTGCAATGCCAAAATAAACAGCTTCGTTAACTATAAAATGTTCTGTGAATGAAGAGATTCCTAGCTGTTTGAATGCACCTCACAGCAGTCAACATCGGGTAAGGACAGTGTTGTAAAGGAAAGGTCATTCTTCTTCAGGTCACCTGTATGCAGTTCTGTCTTTCCCAGTTCAGAAGCATCAGTGAACACTTCTGCAGCTGAGTTTTCTCTCTAGTCTGGTAAGAGCAGCAAAGGGCACACTGAACTGAGAGACTTGGGTTTGGGCAGTGGCCCTCACTCCTTTTCATAGCCATTGACAAGGTCAGCTGCCACCCAAGCCGCTGCCAGTTGGGTTCCAAGGCACTCAAGCCGCTCAGTTCGTAATAAGCGGGGAGAGCAGGAAGCAACGGACTCAAGTCTCCGTCCGGGGTTAGATTACTCTTTCTCAGAGTCTCAGATCTTTCAGAATTTGGCAACTGAACTGGGAGCCTCTGGGACTTTGACGTCCCCTCTCCCCCGCCCCGGTGGGATGGGGAGACTGCGGCCTGGAGACAACACCAAGTGACTTTCCCTGGTCTCGGGAAAGACAACCGAACCCCAAAGGTGGTTCACTGAGGGGGGACTGAACTTGGGCTGGTGGCCCTGCCCTGCGCTTTACATTACCTGTAGTAATCCTCCTTGCAGTAAATGCTGCCGTCCTTGGCGAAGCAGGTGAGCTCAGACTCGAGCGCCAGCTTACATTCACAGCACTTCAGGCACCTCAGGTGCCACTGCTTGTCCACGGCCAGCAAGTAGTACCTGTCCGAGATCTTGCCCCCGCACCCGGCGCACAGAGCGGGCTTCTCCGGGCTCAGCGGGGGCATCCCCTGCAAAGCGAGCACAGCCGGGCTGAGGCTCAGGAGGGCGGAGCGCGGCACCGCACGATGCGGGATGGGGGAAGAGCGTCCCGGAAGGAACCACGCGGGACAAATGTGGGAAAACCCTTGCCAAGTCCCCCTTCGCCGCTCTGGTGCCTCTCTGAACCCGCGTTTGCATTCCTCAGATGCTAGGGAGACCGAGAGTCTACTGACAATAGTCTGGTAGGTGTTTCCCCAACGTAGAATACTTACAAGCTGAATAGTGTGGCTTCAGAAATACATAAAATAACATCGTTATTGGGGAGTGGAAAAGAAATCTGAACGAGTTCAAATTTTTTTTTTGCACCAGAATTTAGAATCCTGTTTTTAGTTTTGTTTAGGCAGCGTTAAAATCGAAATCAAGGGAGGTATTTAATCGGTGCCCACAATTTGGTCGGCATTGTTTTGATGGAGATATAAGTGGCTGATCCTTCTGCTCACAGATTATCAGGGCTCTTGCTTTCTCCTCCTTACAGTCCCTCTTTCTCGGGCACCAGCCTAAACACGAAATCCTGATCCTGAAAAATCTTGTTTGGTGCCGAAATGCAGCTTCCCATCAGGGTCCCATTGAGGATGGTAAATCTCACCTTGAAGAGCCCAGCATGCGGTTTAGCTGCTGCCTTGTATTTTTAAGTAGAATAACCACAAAAGGGGAAACAGGTCACCCCCTAAACTTTTCCCTCCAAACTAGCTGACATGGGTTGAAATTCCTCACCAAATTTTGGCGGGCCTAGAAAAGTCAACTTTTGTTCTTTACCAGGATTAGATCCCTGCCCTGGATTTCCACAGCAAATGAAGGTACTGACACCCACTCGGCTATTTGGCACCGCCAGACCCGGCCAAAGCAGCCCCCCCTCCCGTAAGTCTGAGCACCAATTCCCCCTGTGATACCAGAGCATCCACGCCACACAGCACTACTTGGCTGGAGTCATTTCCGGAGACTTCTGTAGTTCTTTCCCTCTGGCTCATAATAAGTGAGAAAGGGAAGTACTTGCCAATTCTTTAAGAGGACACGACTTACAGTTGCGAATAAGCAGTAGTGGTAGTTGATTACTTCGTTTAAAGGTTGGAAAGTTCTTGCCTTTGGAGTAGGTATCCTGCTCCTCCGCAATTTTTCTATTTCCCCCTGTACGCGACACCAGCCGCCCCGCAAACCAAAGGCAAAACTGCTGCGGTGCCAAGGACTGAAAATCTCTGGGTTTGGGACGCCAAGCCCCAAGCGTTCGGAGAACAGGAAACGGACCAGTGACGTCTAGGTCCACTCCAAGATCCGTTCCTCAGGCCCAGAGACTGAGGCCACCAGGCTCCGGTTTGGGCTGGGGCTGCAGATCCTCGCCCAGGAGGCACCGGGCGTCTAGGGAGACTGGGGACTGGAGTCTGAGGTCTGCCGGAGAGGAGGCCCCTCTTCTGGCTCGCCCTGCCTGCTAGGGGACCGTTGCTGCGGAGGGTAACGAGCTCGGGGCTTTTAGGAGCAAGGGCGCTGGAAGTCGGAGAGGGAGCCTTAGCGCAAACCTAGGTGGGAGCCAGAAAACCCAGCGACGCCCTCAGCAGTCGGGCCCCCAGCCCCCCAGGCCCCGCCGCGGCGGGCGGGAACC